TACATGCAAAAAAATGGGCTCAGAACTCTGCCTCACACCATGTACAAAAGTCATGAGATTTACATACAAGTGGTACTACATGGAAAGTATCATGTTAAGTGAAATGATTCAGAAAGAGAGGGATAGACATAGATTGCATTCATCTGGGGAACATAAAGCAACATAAAGCAAAATAAGAAACTAACACCCCCGAATAGCAGAGATAAGTACCAGGAGGATTACTCCATGGTTTTGAGGACAGCTGCACATGCTATGGGAAAAAGCAGCCAGATAGAGAAGGGAGCACCAAATAAAGGGTGTTGGGAGGTTACTCTCAGGATGGGAAATGCGTGATGAGAGTAGACTATTGTCCGAACAAGATTGTCACTCAATGTCTCTTTTACAAACCACAGCACTCAAAAGGAGAGAGATAACAAAAGGGAATACCCTGCCACAGTGGTAGGGTGGGATGGGGGGAAGGCGTGTGGGAGGGATACTGGGACTGCTGGTGGTGGAGAATGGGCACTGGTGGAGGGATCGGTATTCGATCATTGTATAACTGAAACCCAAGCACAAAAATTTGCAAGTCTACAACTGTTTCTCGTGGTGTTTCACTAATAAAAATTTAAGGAAAAAATATTAGTTTATTCCAATTAAAGTTTTTCCACCATGTTTGATCAATATAAAAGTGTGGTATTAGATAATAAACCCAGCCAAATCACCACAGACAACAGGTGACTCTTGACTTGGTTATGGAGGTTTGGGGTACCCTATGGGAACCAGGGATTGAAACTGGGTTGGCCACTTGCAAGGCAAACACCTTACCCACTGTACTATATTTCCACACATATCTTCTAATTTTGGAAAGCTTTCAGTATGCCCAGGTGCAGGGCATTGGCCAGGGCATTGAGACTCAAGTAAGGATAAGGTACAACACCACAGGGGAATGACTCGCAGGTCTTAGAGAAGGGCTTCAAAGTGGGCATGATGGAGTGCCCAACCTGGGACCTAGGCTCTGGCAGGGGTTAATACCCCAGTGAGCTGGTGAGAGTAGAGTTCTGGGTGAGATGAGTCAGTGTAGAGTCTAGAGATGATTTCCCCACCCCCAACCCCCATCCCCATTCAATCACTGTTTCTTCATTCAGTAGAATGCTCCTGGGAGTGCAGACCAGCAAAATTATTGAAAGCCCCATAGACCTTCCACATCATCGATTTCAAGCGTCATGATATCCGAGGACTCTCCTCCATGAATTGCCTGCCCAGCTTGTAGCTTTGTATTTCTGATAATTCCAGAGTCCTAAACAGGGTCAGAGATCCATGGAAAGTAGCACAGAAGGTCCTCGGAGAACCCTACAGTGACCATAGATTCTAGTGGATACGGGTGTCCTCCCAGTGATCAGCCTGTGACTGGGGCCTCTCCCGAGCTTCTGTCAGACAGGGGCAGCACAGAGAGCATCATGTTCTGCAGGTCCCCTGATAGGACCTTCCAGAGCCATTTGAGGTCTCACACCTGATTCGGGCAGGTGAGATCTCTCCCTGCCCCAACATATACCCCAATCCACCATTGATTTTTAAAGCAGCCATGCTTCTGCTACCACTGGACCTAGTGTGGTCCTATGATCAAACTTCTAACCAACTCCTACTCTATGATTCCCTTCAGCTCACTTACCACAGGACAACTGTCAGAACTTCTCTGAGACAGGGCAGAATAAGAGTTGCCAGTGGCAGGATGAGAGAAAAAGGGAACTCGGTTACAAAGGACACCAGAGGAGAGTGAAACCAGGTTAACTGGGTATGTGTACACAGAAGAGCAGATCAGATGAGACACACACTTTTGCCTGACCTGTCTGCTCAGAGGAGTTGCCCTGAGGTGATTATGATGGCCAGGGGAATGGTTAGGGGAGAAGGAGGATGAGACTCCAGGGTGTTCACACAATCCTGTTGTCACAAGAGGCCTTAAGACTGCACATTCCACCACAGGAGCAGCAGATGGGGGTCAGCACACAGAGATTGTCTGAGCTCCTGTGGCAGCTTCCTCTGATGGTGAGGAGGGGACAGAGCAGCTGTCACCATCCTGCAGAGTCTAGGGGGGAATGGGCTGAGCAGAAGCTTCAGAGCTAGATTCAGTCTCTGACTCTCTGAACACTCATATTGGTCATGCAAGGACACTAACCTCCTTGAACAGCCAGGGGAACGGGAGGTGGGTTGCATTGTGTTCCCCATGATATCTGAGTGGAGTAACATGAGGACACCCAAAATATTACTATCAAGGTGATAGTTCATTCAGTTTGATGGATTTCTGGTCTAGTTAAACAGCCAGCAGTTTCATCAACAAGGTGTTTCCTGACAAAATGAAAATGATTTCTGACTTTTCCTCAGTGGTCAGAAGAGAAGAAAGAAAAGGGGGAAGTTGCCTCAGGGTCACCTTTTCTGGGTGTCCCAGAGGCAGTCCTGCTCAGAGGGTGCCAGGTGTGAAGCATCAGCTCAGGCTCTGTTAGAGGTCCACACAGGCTGGTAGCTCACACCACACACACGGGAATCTTGCACTCTGGGAGGCTGGAGAGGAAGGTCAAGTTCCTCCAGGGTCACTTCCCCTGAGACCCTCCTCCCATCAGCAGGAGCCCCTCCCTCCCCCTTGTCATCACAGGCCTCTGCTGGTGGGTGCCTGAGAGGACAGAGGACGTTTTCTGGTGTCTCTATACTCCCATCTAATCACCCTTCCTGTGTAGTCACTTCAAAGTAAGTGGTGTTTTTTCATTCATGTCTACAAATAATCGCACTGGAATTGTTCAAAATATGCAGAGTCGGGCATAACGCCAAGGTTCTCACATGGCAACACTAATATACTGTCTGTATCAGACAGGTAGTACTCACTTTCTACTCACATAGAGGAAATCAGATAATATTTTATCTAAAACTCAGCCATTAACAGTCATTTCAGTACTTTTCCCATCACACCCACGGGACCCCTGTCCCCATGAACAGAGAGAGTAACTCTGTTCCTGACCCAGCACTTCCAAGATCCAGGCTCTTGCTCTAGTCAGTATCCGGTCTGTCTGCCATCTAGTGGCTGTTTGTGATAGGGCTATTTCAAAAGTCTCAGATGCTGGTCCCAGGGATCCTGAGAGGGACTTCAGCTGTCTTTGCAACATTGTATACCATCTGTCATCTAACCAGACTCTAATGCAAAAATATAAATAAAAGATTCCACTCCTTAACAAACTGATCAACTACTTGAAAAGAAGCTACTCAGAAGAAGAGATGTGTGTTCCCAGGAGCTAAGGATCAGGAACTAGGATTCTCATGATGTCATTTCAGAAAGAATTTCAGGAGCATCAGGAAGGTGCAGGTGAAGTAACAGGTGACCAGTGGGGGATAGAGGGGACTTTCCTCAATACAGTTAGAGCCATCTACCATAAGCCTACAGCAGCATCATCCTCAATGGGGAAAAACTGAGAGATTTCCCTCTAAGATCAGGGACGAGACAAGGATGCCCACTGCTGTTCAATATACTACTGGAAGTACTTGCAATAGTGGTTAGGCAAGAAAAAGATATTAAAGGCATTCAGGTAGGAAAGGAAGAAATAAGGCTCTCACTATTCGCAGATGATATGATACTATACTTAGAGAATCCTAAAACCTCTACCAAGAAACTCCTAGAAACAATAGGCTTGTATAGTAAAGTTGCAGGCTATAAAATCAATACTCAAAAGTCCATAACTTTCCTATTCGCAAATAGTGAGAGAGAAGAAAGTGGCATTAAAAACCATCACATCACATCTTCACTGCAACTGATGTTCTCAGCAAGGGAGACACCAGGACAAGCAGCTGGGCCAGCCCAGCCCCACACAGCTGATCTCTGGGTGTTTTTGTTCTGGTGTGCATCTTCATGGGAGGGAGATTATTATGCTGTTGATAGTAATAAGTAGCATCATCTTCAGGCTTTAGGCTGCTGTTGGTGAGAAAGAAATCTGTCTCGGATCCACTGCCAGTGAAGTAAAATTGTTTCTATTAAACTTACTTTGGATGTGAATGTAGAGAAAGAAAGGAAGGATGTGTATAAGAGAAGACATGGGTTTCATTAGCATGAAGAAAGCAAAAAGACTCTGAGACTAGCAAGTCCGATACATGATCAAGGGAGAAGAGGGACTTAAAGAAAATTTGAAATTTTTCTCTTTTATTTGATCTCTCACTTGCCCGCATCGACCACAATCCTTCACTGCATGTCATTGGGTGTAAATTTCATTTCGTATTCCAAGGTAGTAAGTACAACAGACTACAGTTCCTGACAGTAAACATGGCTTTCCCCCCACCCCCATAACAGTTTAGCATGAAATCCCCCTAGTCAAGGGAACACATCTTTGCCCCTCCCCAAACTCTGCAGTGCTTACCCCTGGCAAGAAGCAGTTTCTCCTCGGTCCATATCAGAAAGTTCTTTGGACAGTGGGGATACCCCCACTAAGAGGCTGTAACTGTGTACACATGTCATCAGAATTTGATATGGGAAAGTTTTCATTATGATACTAAAATACCTATTAAAACAGTGATTTCTGAACAATCTAAAGTGATTGGACATGCATGAACTCTTGATATCACTGTCACTAACTTCCTGGAGGAAAATAATAATAAAAGGCCCTCCCGTTGATCGTCGATTTGCTCGAGCGGGCCCAGTAACGTCTCCATTGGAGACTTTGTTGTTACTGTGTCTGGCATATCAAATATTCTCGGTAGCTTGCCGGGCTCTCCGAGAGGGGCGGAGGAATCGAACTCGGGTCGGCCATGTTGGCCGCTTGTAAGGCGAATGCCCTACCCGCTGTGCTATCGCTCCAGCATAAACAAAATCATAAGATCTATTGTCATTCCAGAGCTTCTGGGATGACAGGAGGGAAAATGGAGACTAAAATATTGTAGCAGAACTTTCTCTAATGGCTCAGTATAGCTGCATCTGACACACTCTCAGAAGAGGGAAGATTCAGGAGCAGCTGGGCCAGCCCTGCATCACACAGCTGTTCTCTGGGGGTTTATGTTCTGGCTTGTATCACTGTGGGAGGGTAATTATTATAGTGTTGACAGTAATAAGTGGCGGCATCTTCAGGCTTCAGGCTGCTGATGGTGAAAGTGAAATCTGTCCCAGATCCACTGCCACTGAACCGGGGAGGGACGTCTGGTCCTAAGTTGGTTGCCCTTTGTATCAGGAGCCTGGGAGCTTGCCCTGGTTTCTGCTGATACCAGGCTAACCAATTGCTAACGCTCTGACTGGCCTTGCAGGTGATGGTGACTTTCTCTCCCAGAGATGCAGACATGGATGGAGGCTGGGTCATCTGGACATCACACCGGGAACCTGGGGTTGAAAATATAAACACACATTGTGACCATTTATCTTACTCTATATTATTCTCCCTGAAGCATGGGTAGCACTAGGTCCAGTAAACCCTCATTTCCCTCCTTATCTGGGAGCCAGAGCAGCAGGAAGCTGAGGAGCTGCACAGGGGCCCTCATGTCCACTCTGTGTGTCACAGACACTGACCCTGCAGGGTGACTCAGACTATTATTGAGTGTCCAGGCATGAGCTCTGAGGACTTGCAAATGAGAGGGGGCTGGGAAGACTGGGGAGGCAGAGGGGGGAGGGTGTGTGAGGCGACCAGCCCAGCTGCATGGAAGTCACAGTGCAGGTCCCTGTGGGGAAGCAGAACTTTGCCCACAGAGAACATGCTTCTCCCCAGGCCCCAGGAGGGCTCCAGTGTGAGCACAAAAGGCCGGGTCCCTGCTCCCCTGTGTTAGGACACAGCTTCTTACATTCTCTGCCCCAGAAACAGGCTTTGCCAGAATATACTTTTTAGACTTCCTCAGGAATTGTCCAAATTCCTTTCATTTCTCATTTGTGGATAAAATTGAGGCAAGGCAAGTCTTCTCTTTGCTTTGAAATCGTATTATATTTTACTGCCCTTTGTAAAGAATTATAATTTTATGTTTTTCTATTTGATAGTGGGAGGGCTTTTTGTCAGTCAGTGCTCAGAAACTTGCTGGTCACTATGAACATCATATAGCCATCGGGATGAACAGTTCAGTGCCAGGGACCAAGGACACAAGGCTATTGCGGTGCTGCAGTGCTGGAACTCTCAGGCCTTTACCTGCAAGTGGTCTGAGATATGCGGGACCTGTGCTCACATGTGGACCCCAGTGCATGCCTCTTTTTTTTCCACCTTTATTTTTTATTTATTTATTTATTTTTATATTTATTTATTGAATCACTGTGGGAAAAGTAACTAAGCTTTCAGGTTTAAGTCTCGGTCATACAATGATCAAACACCTTTGCCTTCACCAGTACTCATTTTTCACCACCAAGAACCCCAGTATACCCCCCTCCCATCCCTCCAAATGCCTGTGAGGTAGATGATTTCTACTTAACTCTTCTCTACATTGATTACATTCATCATTTCGACAAAAGATGCACCATTAGAATTTCCCCCCAAACAATCAGAATTGCTGAAAAGGCATTGTGAAATATTTTGTTTTCTATAGCTGGTTATGAGAATCATATAATGTCATGTGGCCACGATTTGGGATTTCTGCAAAGAGCCAGATAATTATGAGATTGGTTTCTGTGTGTCTGGTGTTATGGCCATGCCAGAGAGCCGCTCATGGTGGGTAACTCATGACCTTGGTAGGGCGTGAAGGACATGCCAGTCCCATCACCCTTCCCATGAGACTGCAGTTGCCCCGTCACCGCCGGCTCATAGCTGGCTTTCCTATAAGCTCTGAGGTGGTGGCCACCTTGCTGCCAGGGAGGAAAATGGAGGAAGGGAGCAGCACCCTTTCCCTCCTGGGGAGGCCTGGCGCTGTAGTTTAACGCATGGTCCATTCACTTCTCTTCTGCAAGCTGCTGGACTCTGGACTAAGTCCTTTTGCCTCTGGAGCCATGGCCATGCCAGAGAGCCGCTTGTGGGGAGCTACTCGTGACCTCAGTAGGGCGTGAAGAATGAGCCGGTACCACCCTCCTTCCTTCCCATGAGACTGCAGTTGCCCGATCACCGCCGGCTCATACCTGGCTTTCCAATAAGCTCTGAGCTGGCAGCCACCTTTTATGCAGTCCAGATGCATTTCTGCCAAAAGCCACTGGGTTTCAAGACTTGTTTCTGAGTCTCTGGTATCACGGCTATTAATGAACTTGATCAGGAGTCAGAGAGGCCATTTATAGGGCGGCGACTCGGGTTCTCGTTGGGATGGAGAGAAAGAGTCAGTTCCACCCTCATGTGGTGAGGCCCCGTGTGTCTCGTCACTGCAGGTCCAAACCTGACTGTCCAGTGGCCTCTGGAGGATGGTAGTCACCAGGCTGCCAGGGGGAACAGGCCAAGGCACAAAACCTATTCCCACCTGGAGTGGCCCAGAGCCAGTAACCTACTGCAAGAACAGGATGCAATTCTGCCAAAAATTTTTGGGTTCCGAGATTCGTTTCTGAGTCTCTGGGATCATGGCCATTAAGCAGTTCGATCAGGAACTAGAGAGGCCATGCCTCCAATTACATAGCTGAGCCGGAGGTGGTTTGTGGGTGTGTCTCCCACATACCTGACTATTAGCCGTTTACTTTCTTGGTAAACTTTGCCCCAAGTTTTTTGGGTCTGGCCAAAAGCACAGCAGCAATTTTGGGGTATCTGAAAGTCTGACGCTGCCATCAGGCTGCTGATGCACTCAGCTCACAGGTACAGACTGACCTGCTGGCGGCACCATACCCCCCAGTTCATGCCTCTTGATGGTTCAGTTTCCCCCACAAATTGCTGTGTTATTTTGTGTGAGAAATTGCTATTATTAGCAGACACAAATTCAATGAGTGAAATGAATTGTACAAACATTTGGGGTCTTGATTCATAAATGAGTGCTAAGACAGAGAATATCTAATATCCCAACCCATTCTTCTCCTCATCTCCCCATCCTGCACCTGAGAAACTATTCCATTACTTCCCAGTCAACATAACAGCAAAAACTTTTCCTCCTCATCTTAAAACAGTTGATTCTTTTCCAGCTCTAATTCATGACACAGATCTGAATATTCCTTGACATGCTTGGATTCTCTTCCTATCTTTCATCCTCTTCCCCTGAGCTGGTCAGTTGAAAATGTGTTCAGATGTGGTGGCTGAGAAAGAACAACTTGACTGAATCCTCATTGAATATTTCAGTCTCATCACTGGTGCATCCCTTGCTCACAAACCTCGAGTTGCTCCAAAGACACAGCAGCTCTCAGACACTAGATGAAAGACTCTGTGTCTTGAGAAGATTGAGGTGATAACACTACAGAATAGCCAATGGCTGCTCCCTCACAGCAGATGAGGTTCACAGACATTAAATAAACACGCCTATGGAATGCAGGTTGCCACCTTTGGCGAGGGAGTCAGTGTGAGGTAAAGATAGGACTCACACAAAGAGAATTGTCACTCTGGACTGGGGCAGAGACCCATGCTGGGGGAGCCAGCATCCAGGTTCCTCAGAGTGCCATCCCACCACCCCATCAATACCACTGTTCTTTCATTCTGGAGGCTGTCCCTAGAACTGTAAACGATATTCCCTAGCAGTATCCTATGGTCCCACACCACTGAATTCAGCACCCAAAGACCAAATCAGAATTCCATGAATCATTTCCCCAATGGGCAGGAGGGAGTGATAACTGAAGGAAAAACACCACAGTAAATCCTGTGTACTACTAGATGAGACTCTAAAGCAAACAAAATATTATTGAAAATATTTATTTATTTGGGGGTCCCTCATATCCTGTTTTTAGGACCCTATGGTTACTGTGAACAATACTCAGCCATCTGGCTGGGAAATGCAGTTCTAGGGCCACTTGACTTGAGGCATTTATGATCAGAATAAAAGTAACAACAACTTCATCCTAAAGGCAAGTTCAGGCTCAGCAAACAAGATGAGCATGAAGCCTGAGCAATAAGAGTACAGGGTACTAAAGGAATGGGCACCCAATTATCTGAGGTGCCCCTGAGGCAGTCCTGCTCTGAGGGTCCAGGAGTGTGAAGCTTCAGCTCTGGATCCCTCAGAGAAACACAAAGGCTGGGGCTTACATTACTCATATGGGATTCTCCCACTCTAGGCGGTTAGAGAGTGAAGTTGGAGAGTCAAGTTTGCTCAGGGTCACTTCCAGTGAGACCCTCTTCCTGTCAACAGGTGTACCTCTCTCCTATTGTCCAGCAGGTCTCTTCTGGGTGGGTGTCTGATAGGACAGAGGTGGATTCCCTGATGCCCCTTTATCCCCATCCAATACCCCCCGTGTGACCTCCCTCATTTTACCTCAAGTGATTCGACAGATCTATCACCAACTATGAATATTAAATATGGGGTCAAAACAGTTCATAGTACAAAGGCATGACAGAACTTCTATTACGTATTATTTTCTATATTTGTTCGGTTATTTATTTTTGTGGGATCACAGTGAGATACAAAGTTACAAAGTTGTTCATGATTGGGCTTCAGTCATACAATGTTCCAACAGCCGTCCTTCAGCGTACATTTTTCGCCATCAAAGACAAAAAAACTTCTATCCCCAGACTAGAAAACGGTGAAAATCTCACTACAACTCAGACTTCCAGACACTTCATACTTTCCTACCACACCACAGAGCCCCTGTCTCTGCTGACAACCGGGTGTGACTCTCAGTATTTATTTAAGATCCAGGGACTCTCTTGTCACTTCTGGGGTCAGTCTGCCATCTAGTGGCCAATGTGTGATACAGAAACTCAATACGTTTCAGGTGCTGGTGACCTCTGTAATCTTGGGGAACCCAGTTTCTTTCTTAATGTCTTTGGAACAAACTGTAAAACACATCACCAAGACAGGTGAAGTTAAAGGTAAAGGTAAAGGCCCTCCCGTTGTTCGTCAATTTGCTCGAGCGGGCCCAGTAACGTCTCCATTGGAGACTTTGTTGTTACTGTGTTTGGGCCGGGCTCTCCGAGAGGGGCGGAGGAATCGAACTCGGGTGGGCCATGTTGGCTGCGTGCAAGGCAAACGCCCTACCGCTGTGTTATCGCTCCAGCCCATAGCACATGGGATTCACAAACACTAAACAAACACCTGTATGAGATACCGGGTGCCACCTGGGTGAGGCAGTCAGCATGGGGTGAGGATAGAACTCACACAAGAAGTGTCACTCAGGGCTGGGGCAGAGATCCATGCTGGGGAAGTCAGCATCCAGGTTCCTAAGTGTTCCATCCCACCACCCCATCAACATCACTGTTCTTTCATTCTGGAGGTGTCCCTGGAACTGCAAACTCAGCTCTCCCTGCACAGTTCTATGGTCTCCACAACACTGAATTCAACCCCTGACTGACCAAACCAGACCCCCATATACCACTAGCCCAGCAGGACATACACATGCTGAAGTACTGAGTATCCTGGGGAGGGTCTGGAATGTTTCCCAGGAAGCATCTGGTCCCAGGGGAGGCCTGCAGTGATCATGGAGTCTAGAGGAGATGGTTTTCTCTGCAGTTATCAACCTG